AAATGGTGTAGAACATAACAAGGGGAGGCATTTCAGATCATCTTCATCTTCAAGCTTAAAATTCCATCTTTTGTGAAGTTTGACTTTCCTTTAATTATGATTTTTCGATGTAAAGATGGCAGGGACTTTTTTCAGAGGAGGGTCGTTATGGTGCTGGTAGGGGGAGTGAACGTCATTCTGTCTCGTTAGGTTACTTAGTATTGTATAATATTAAACCACGGAAGAAATAATTTTTCATATTTCCATTGATGTGGAACTATAATTTAGTCACACGATGAGAGGGAAGGGCGTTCAGCCAACCCACCCAAAAATTCACCGTTGCATCCCTCACTTTCACTCATCATTATCACTGCATTCAGTACAGAGAAACGTAAAATATGTCACCTTTTCAGTTTCCCCAAAGTCAGCTAAATATCAGGTTGAGATTGTATTATAAAAAAATGGACTTTGTGTCGTTTATTTGAACGTTTGAGTTTGAACGCAAAAATATCTCTGAAGAATGAGTTTGCTGTGTCTTGGATACAGTAGGCCTATATACATGATTCCTTGCAGTTTATGCGACAATTCAAAATTTGTGCGTCGCATTTTCTATACAAAGATGCCGTTTTAATTTAACAGAAGTCTATATTGCAGCTAATTAGAGTACACATTTATACACCTGTCATTCTGTAACAACTGCCGAATGTTTCTCAGCGGCAAATTGACCCCACTTTGAATCTTCCCCGTTTTCTTTTCTCTTTTGGGCGATGGGCTATGCGCACGTAGACCCATGATTCGTCGTGGAATCAATATTGTCAACATAATGAATGAACTTTGAGTTCAGAGTCACCAGTGCGTGTATTTTCTGGAGCCTTTATTCGTTAAATAATGATAAAAAAACAGCAAGCCTATCGACATGCAGGGACGGAGCAAGTGTCAACATAGCATTCACTAATTCTGAAGCTGAAATTGACTGAAGATCTTATCTCTCGAAGTTCCCTTTTGCAATAATTCTAGTCCCTCTCACCCTCTCTTTGACTTTTAAAATAAATTCTTTTTTTTTTCTTTATTGATTCCTTTCTTTTCCTTAAAATATAAATAAATAAAAAACAGATCCGTGGAACTTCATGCAGTTCCGCAATAAAATCCTTAATTACATTAACGAACGAAATAGCTCTCGAGCCTTCCCCTTTCTCTTTCGATTTCTGCATCCTTTGTGGTCCTTGCAGTCGTCACATACCGTGTTGCTTCCAGAACGTGAGCCAGCCCACTATGAGCTATAGTCGGTTGATTAAGTCCGGCATTTCCACCTCACCGGGGCGCTGATGTGAACGGCGGGGGCCCGGCACGCGACTCACGGTGTGGGGCCCGGCACGCGCACGGTGCACTGCTCGTTCCAGCACATGAAGTGTCCTGCAGGTGTTAAACCAGGTTTCAATGTCCCAACAGGCAGGCGACTGATTATTTGGGAACACTTACGTTCTTTACTCAGAATCTGAAGGATTGAACAGTTTCGCTTTTTTAGGCTTATTTCACAGTGAGTGGGACGTACTTTTCACTTAGGTCTATATTTTAAAAATGTGTTCATTGATAAAGATTTCATATATAATCACGATACATGACCTGTTCTGTAAACCGACTGAGAGGTAGTCAAGTGCTCTTTTATATTTAAAGGTTTCCTAATAATAATGCAAATAATTTACTTCCTTTGTTCTAATTATAATTCATACGTAGAAAAAGGCTTGCTCCTTTTAATTGAAACATAACAGTATAGTTATCATTTGGTGAGAAAATAGTACTCCGATAAAAGATCTAAATCATCTAATGATCTTATTATCTAATGTAGTGGAAAATAGAACTCAAATTGCATCAAATTTCTTTACGTATTTTGGCCTATTTCTTGTCGAACTATGGAAACGCGTTTCCCTGTATGGAAAACAAACATTGTTCAATTATTGTTTGCAGATTTTCCATCGAATGGATAAAACATGTAGTAGCCTATATATATATTTTTTTTTCCATCGGGTATTTTGGAAAATGGGTCCTCGACATCACGACAGTCTAATTGAATGGGAATTATTCAGGTACATTTGCTTAAGTTTCTGGTTTTCTGATTGAGCATGATCATGTTTCACGGTGAATGGTGTCATTGAGGATATACTGCGTAGATGTTCAAGGCAAAGTGAAACGAGAACTAACATCCGGGTCAGCCTTGCTCTGTCTTGCTGTTTACTACTTGCCACACCTGACTATGCATGTTACAGCCACATGAGTGGATGTGACATCTGAGCTGTATTATGGCGTCACCTTCCCCCCTTTTCTCACCCCACCCCCGGAAGTACGTCAGAGGGGTCCCTCGGGAAGGTTCTCCCAACAGTACTGTGCCTTTATGCCAAGCTCCTAGATACTCCCAGCGCGCGGTACTGCAGTGGCTGGCATGCACTGGTAAAAGTGTGACAGGCGCACTTTCCCGGGACGAACATACGGGAAAAAGGTGAAGTCTGGAGACGTCAGTTCGGGCTGGAAACTCCATATTCTAAAGGTCGCCGAGTGTGCATGTGCATAGATGAATGATTGATGAAATGAAATTATATATAGCAAATATATAAATGAGCACAGAACAACACCCGTTCAAAGCCGTAGGAAGAGCTCAAGTGCACAGAGTGGCGCAAAATGCGCAACTGTTTTTCTTTGTGATCAATAAAGCCTTACGTTATCTTTTAAGTAATCGAAGATTCGAGGCATCTTTTTAGATATGCGGAACGATATTTCGAGTAGATGATCTTTTGTATTTACTCGAATTTACCTGCTCCAAATAGCACCCTTTATGTCAGCCATGTCTCGAAAAAGCTAATTTAAGTGATTGATCAATTTTGCAGTACAGTGTTATGCAGTTTTAATTCAATATACACTATGCGTCCTCATGCTCGGGCTTTACAGGCTAATTATTCATAACTCGTCGCAATAATTATGCGATTAGTGGCAAGAGGTCATGGAGGTTGACCTACGTGACGTTATGACCAAATTTATTGCTAAATACATCTCAACGAAGAATCCGATAGTGAGATGCAGATCGTGCAGGTGAAACTTGATCATGGAATTTTTCTTTGTTTTATTGGTTGGAAATAGTACGGCAGATGAGGTGAGGGGACTGTTCAGTGATGATGGAATTTTGCACACAGTCAGAGCATTGTCACGAGGAAGATAGTTGGCTATAGGGCCATCGCAGATTTGGCCTTTAAAAAAAAAGGTAGAACAGCAAGCAATGGCAGCTATTTTGAGAATTTTAAAATGATTGCTTGTTAATCTACCTATATTTTTTTCAAAGGACTAATCTGCGATGGCCCTATAGCCAAATATCTTTCTTGAGACATATTCTGACTATGTGCCAAATGCCACGCTTCTATCATCAAAGTCAACAATCCCAAAAAATGTATCCCCTATCTGCCCCACAAAAAATCGGATAGGCTAAATGGATCCTTTCAAAACGTGCCGTAGGGTACACTAGTTTTCGACCGTTTTTTCTGTAGTGAAAACATTTTTTTCGCTGGTTTTTCAAATAAAACAAGACTTGCCAGATCGATCTGGAATCAGTCAGTCAGTGTGGCAGTCAGTCACTGACTCAGTCAGTCAATGGACAATAGACTGGCTTTGCGGGTCCAGCAGAAATCACACCCACCGCTTACAGTTTAACTGTCGACAAATTAATCATAAGATTCAAGGAGGCAACGGTCCCATCTTACTTTTATTGCAATGTTGGTGGCATTAATAAATGTCTCGAGTCCAACCCTTGCTCATTCCCACTTGGGCTTCACTAATTATGATTTGACACGAACAAGTGGTGCATCTTTAACAACGTGTCCAGCCAGCGTAAATTCAATATCTCCCCGGAGTCGAGAACAAGATGAAAGCAAACATCTGCACGTCCCAAATTGGAAATAAAATGAGAGCCCCGTGTCGCCCGCCTCGATTGCCGTGTAAACGCCGGGTCTAGTGACGGGGCAAGTCGAGCCCCGCCGGCCCGTGTGTGCGTGCGGACGAGGCTCGGCCCGCGTACTCCACGGAAGGATACAAATCATCCACGCTACAAACATTAGACACCCCCAAAATTATTCCCACTTTTGACTGATTATTGCTAGTCTCCACTGTGATGTTTGTGCTCTGTGAGGGATTATTTGAGGCAATTACTTGCACTTGCTGCAGCTTTCTGACTATGGTTAGTTAGGATCCCCCCCCCCCCCGCGCCAAAGACCAAATCCGGCACTCGAAAGCCATGTTGACACGATCTTATCTCAATTCTCAACCACTCTCTGAACATTTGTGTTTTATTGTCAGCCGCAAATACTCGACTTATCCTTCTGGTAACCATGGACGCCACTAGAGAGCCATTTATAAAACTTCGCTTCATTTTGGGAATCGTCAAGAAAACCATAATTTAACGAGAAGTGCGCGATTCGTTTCCCCCTGTCTGACTGCTCCCCATCTTCGCTCGTCTCGCAGCTAAAAGGTACCGAGTTCCTTAATACTCACTTCGATGCTTGTGAGATTAATTGAAGAGATAAAAAGACCTAGATGACATCTCCGGACCAAGTTGTTATTTTATTTCATAGATGTCCTCTGAACGGTCCATCGGCATTTTGATAAAAAAGCTGATGCGCTGGGCATCACTTCAACATATCGCTGATGTATCGGGCCAGCACCAGAAGGTATGAGCGGATATAACACATGTGATCGGATAATATTGTTCTATATAAATCGTGTGATAACAGTTCCGTATTTTATTAGCGGTTCTCCGTGCGCCTCATCTGCACAATCGGCGATGCTTCTCTGATGGCATTTTGAGTCTTTGGTCGGTGCACTGCAATTGATATTGTGATACAAATCTCTTGTTAATAGAAAGCGCTAACTGTACTGTTGTTTTAAGTATCCAAACAAATCACAAAATTCCACCAAAAAGTATTCCCCTGCAACGACTGATACTTCAACTATTGACTGATTGTAATTTTTGTCATTGTTATCAGGACTTTCCTCACACCGGAGAACTGAGGCTGAGTGAAGAGGTGCAATTTGGTTTAGGGCTCATCATCACGATTACTTGGCACGAGGCGTGGTGTACTAGGAGATGGAGCTCACAGAACACACCCGCTGGATGGTCGTCAACAATCAACACGGAGACACACATAGCGGCGCACATCCTCACGGACCCCACCCAACCGGCATGACCCCCTCGGCTACCTCGGAGAGGATGCCCCATGCCCCCCACCACAGTCTCAACTTCATGGAGCCACCGCAGCTCGTACCGCCAGACGACGTGGACGTGTTCTTCCACGCGTTGGACGGGGGCTCCAACGCCGTCAACCCACCAAGCTACTACGCTAACTCTGCCGCTTCTCGAGCGGCCGCCATGCACAGCTACAGACCGTCACACGGTAAGTGTTCTTTCTTGAGTAATAAAAACTCTGCGATGAGAAAAGAGACTTAGTTAATTTTTCCTATAACGGACAGGTTTTGTCAAATTAGTTGTTAACTTTAAGTGCTCTCCCGTATGGAAAGTCGCGATGCTTCCTCATTATGGTATGGAAACGTCAGTCAGGAAAAGTAAAAAGTTGTTGTTCCTTTAATCCTTGCTCTATGATTAAATCAAGCAAAAACAATTCTGTGCGTAAAAGTGTAGCGTTACGGTCCCGTTGGACATGTATAGAACCTAGCTCTAAGATGTGCGGGATAAGATCAGATTGTTGGCTGGTGCCCCGTCTTAGTGCGCTGGTGACCGCTAATGTTTTTCAAAATCTCGTGACGGAATTGAAGGCTCCGCAAAGCATTGTGGGCAGAGAACTTCCATGATCGATACAAGCGTATTCAGTGCGCAGGCATCGTGCGCATGCGGGTGTTGACCTCGGATCATTGGTTAAACAAAGCCTACTTTGTTAAAATCTACGATCGCCCGACTGATATGTGACTGGATAACAGCAAAGAGCCTAGATAAAGCGCCCTCTTGTGTCATTCACTGGTCTTTCAGTCTGTTGAGTTCATTTTCCTGGGTCCCGAATAAGCCACACATTACAATGGATCATGGCGGAAAGAGCATCTTGAGTAATGTAATTGTTACCACTCTTATCATAATAGGCCTATATTCGTTGTATGCGCAGTTGAAATATACAGAGTGATGCAAAAAGAAGGAAACCCTTCTTGACAGCAATTTTCACCCACTTGTTAAGCATACTTAAAAAAAAAAATCAATGTAATGGTATTAAAATATTGATCTTTATACATAAGTGACGAAAAAATGATTGCAAATACATACATGTTGTTTTTTTTTTATCTGAAATATGGTAGTTTGAATACTTCCTGTGCCAAACATGTTTGTCCACGGACGGCTTCATTCCACCTGCTTGACGTTCTGAGCTCCGGAGCTTGATTTGAAGACACACACAAAAAAACACTACACTATATAGACTTACACGTGGACAACAGCGATTTTGGTGACTTGAACTCAAATTAGCAAAAGAACACTGGGGATTTTTTAAAGATTTTTTTCACCAGTGTGGTTGAAGAGCTATTAAAAAAAAAGTTCAAATAACTTAAGTAGGCCTGGTAGGTTCAAATTCCTGTCAATAGTGGGTTTCTTAATTTTTTGAACTACCCTGTTTAGGCCTAGACATTCCTCTCGTCCAGTATTCTTTTGTTAAACACATCTGTCATCAGTTTATCCTCCGAAGTATCGTCTTTAAAAGAACAATTCAACCTTGTCCTTGCAATCCCACTGCTTCATTTGTTTCATTTCCTTTCTCTGTGGACCTCTCCTCACACCCCGTACGTCCGTCTTATCTTCAGTAATCCGCTGCCGAAGCCAAACTTCCTGGTACAAAAACCACATTTCCGTGAATTGTTTTCCTTTTCAATTTCCTCCGTACAGTTAGCGTTGCTTTCCCCGCTTACCCCCTCAAGCTCTCGCATCCTGTTGATCTTCTTGGCGCGTGCCTCTCAGCACTCTTTGTGTAAACTCTTCCCGGTTTGGGGTTATGACCCCATGCAAGAACGCCGTCGTGCTGGATCTTCCCGCTGTGATGAGTTAGATGCGCATGCGCTATGGTGTCTTTTATTTGGACGTCGGTTTGAAGGAACTGCACGTTAGGAATTATGCGGGAAAATTCACTCTCGACTTAACTGTTTGGCAACAAAAAACCCAGAATTTTTGGTGAAGCGCACCTCTATATTGGGCCATCAGAAAATCTCAACGAAAAATTGCTCTCGTATTTCTCTGCGGAATTTGTGGCCGTGTAAACCTTTTCTGTCTATAAGTAAATTCTAATAATATTTAGGCCTATCTAATAAATTATAATATTATTATTTTTTTTTTAAATAACAATAATAATGGGCACTTATAGCACTTTTAACTAAGATCACAGTGTTTTACATCAGTATTATTACCCCCTGATCATTGGGATTCAGTGAAACATTCCACATACAATCTCACTGCTCCGCTCCATGGGAAGCTAATGCAGCCATCTCGGCGCAAAGCAGCTAAAACCAACAACAATACCCTCACAGGTACCCAATTCACTCCTGGGTAGAAAGAAGCAATGAGTGACAAAGTGCCTTGCCCAAGGGCACACGCACCATAACCCCAGGCTGGAGTTGAACCCACAACCTGCATAATTACCCGCAGACCACAAGTTGAATGTAGACCAAGAGGCTACGGCACTCCACGTTAGAACTTATTAGAAATTAAAACTTGTAAGAAATATTATTTCAAAAAAGAAAAGAAACAGAATTGCAGGGGAAAACAAGAGCAAAATTCAAATTGTTTGGGGAAATATTATAAGAATCTATCTAATAAAGTTCTAATAAGGTCTAATTTATTTATCTCTTCAGATTTCCATTAGAAGGAGAAATCTTGCCTGAGGGACCTGGGTGTTTAAGTCATCAAAACGGAGTCCACATAATTATTTTCCTCACAGACAGCATTAAAAAAATATTTTCGTGACTTTTACGATACGGAACGGAATACTCTGTTGAACAATTATGACTTGAAGAAAGCACCCGGCCTATACCGCAATGGTATTTCATGATTGTTTAATCCAGACTATAGGCCTATGCCAGGTCTCGCTCACCGAAAGTGGAGTATTGCTTCTCAATGAAGTCCGGGTTTCGAGCTCAACATATCAACACTAAACCCCAGTCCCTAACCCGTTCATTTCTGGTCGGTTCCCCTTCGGTAATTGGTCAATTATCCCGCCTGGCAAAAAAGTCCTGGCCCATAATAATAGATCAGGAGCGATATGACGCCCGAACACCTTGAAAATGGGCAACTACCGGACGACAGGACCAGCTGGGCTATGCATCATACAAGACACAAAATATTTCCACCTTTTTTATTTTTTACTTTTGTCATTTTTTTTCTTCTGGGAGCCAACAAACACAGTCCCCGGGGGAATTAGCCTGGTTCTGGGCGCACTGCGGTTCTTCACAGGATGTTGGCGCTCCAGCGGGGGACCGAAGCACACATAACACACGGCGCACGCGCTACGCATGTCAGCTTAAGTTGGACCACCAAACTGAAACTCTCTTCCTGTATGCCGGGGTTGCTTTGACTTTTCCCCTTCTCCTCAGGTCCGCGCACGTCTCTCTGCCAGTCGCGAGACCAGAGATTATAAATAGACACCCCACTGCCGCCGGGGTCTCACTCACTTGTACGTCCACTGCGTGCCCGTGACCGGTCGACTTGTTCTAAAATTGGGTCCCGCACACGCGTCAGGAACTGCATGTGCTCAGTGTATAGAGTGTGTACATGCACTGAAAGCCAACCCAGCTTGATAAGAAGCGTGTTGTGGACGTGCGGCTCATTTATTGATGCTCCGTTCTAAAGAGTGAACTTATTTGGTCTCTAAACTTTTCTGAACAACTTTCAACAGCTCGTGTGACTGGAAGCCAAGTCTGCAGGCCCCATTTCCACACCCCGACCATCCAGTGGTTCGAGAGCAGCAAGACTCTCCGGCCCGTGCACCAGTCCAGCAACCACTCAGCCTGGTGTACCAGCCCCTTCGGCGGGGCTTCTGCAGCGGTGTCATCCCACGGTGGGCCGCCGGCTCTCGGCTCCTCAGCCCCCGGAGGTAGTGGTGGTGGTGGTGGTAGCGGGATCAACTCGCAGTCCAGCCCCCACCTGTTCAACTTCCCACCGACTCCGCCCAAAGACAGCACTCCGGACCACCTGACTACAGCTGGGCTGGGAATCCACCCGTCATCATCAGGCGAGTATTCACATATGGAGGATAAGGCCATGCATCGAGATCACCATCTCACCTCTCCTATCTCCACTGCATCTTCGTCCGGTGCCATGTCTATGGCTGCCAGCTCGACTGCTACGGACACACCGTACAGCACCCAGCACCATATGCCGGCTTATACCACGTACGTCCCGGCACCTGACCTGACCAACTCGCTTGGGTTCCACACTGGGGCTGTCATGGGGAACAGAAGCTTTAGTGGTTCAGCTCCCAGGCCACGGACCAAGAGCAGATCCAGTTCTGGTAAGTGTACATATTATGGTTATATCGTTTATTATGGTGATCATTATCTGCCATTTTAGATCATTCAGTTCTTTACTTGACAAATACTTGTATCCTCAACATTCTGTATTTGAATAGTGGTTTAATTGGTTTAAAATAAAAACACTTTTCTTGTACACATCTAAACCGCGCATTATAAAACTCCAAGGGTTAAGCACCTCAAATACCATTTTATGAACCCATGCACCGATGACATCAACACAAAGGTCAACTGAACATGGCAACGACAATAATAATTTTGTAGAGTCCGGACCAGACGTATTGTTTTAACTGCGACACAGTGCTGGTGCCGTGTGTCTATGTCAATTATCAACTCTTGACCTTCCTCCTTTTATTAAAGGGGCACCTGCGTTCACATTAGCTGGATCGGAAATCAGTTTGATGTCACAGGTTTGCCACTGGCTAAATTGTACAACATTAGTGAAAACGATTCTGTTTGGGAATTGGGGTCTTTATATTGGTAGGCCTATTATGTGATGTAAAGCCTACAGGCTATGCAACTTGTTACAACTTGTGAGCTCTTATCGTGATGCCCAACATGCTTGTATGGGCCTTTACTATAAATGTAGCATTAATTGAGTTATGCAAAATACTCTGTTAAAGAGAATATTTTGATTCTGTCCAAATATTCTGTTTCTCCTGGCGTGCGTATAGCAAAATGCATTTGATATTGTTTTTGAGAATTTGTCACCGTATCTCCCATTCAACTGCAAGCAACCGAACTATGTTCGACCATACTAGCTCCATGGTTCGACTTTCAACTTATTGTACTGCTACATGTATGATATTTTGAATGAGGCTACTCTACTCATAGAACTGTACAAGAACAACATCATTACAAATAGCCAGCACACTCCAATCCCAGATGCATGTTTGAACCAAACAAAGTCAAGGAACGATATTGGCGCCAACTCAAATAAACATTTCATCACACTCTGTTGCCAACTGAGCTGAAGCGCTTAGCAGTCACTCACTAGATTCAGCCACGTGGCGATGCCTATAGGATCGGTTTCGTTTTATTGTTTGGATTTTTCCCCAATGAAACTACGTTTACTGTTTAAGGGCCATAACAGATTCCGATGGCAAGTGTATTAATTTGTCTGTCTCTCATCAACGGGTCAGAGTTCATACAGCTTTTGCTGCCTGTGATTCGTGAAACTTAGCAGATTTGTAGTTAAGCCCCTCTCAGGTCAATCACAACTCAAATCACAGTTCAGCCTTTCAGTTCCCAATAAACAATGACAAAGGAACGCCCTTTTGAATAGCTTGATCCTTGACTTATGACTGGATGACCTTGTGGTTGACTTGCTATTGACTTGTGAAGACTAGACATTTCTGCAATTTGACTCGCCAGGACGACATGCTTCAAAACAAAATATAAACTCAAACTTCAAAGGATAGTGCACCGGTCGTACATGCAGTAGGCTTTATTGGAGTCGTGGTGCAGGGTTAGAATAGAGGGTTACATGTGTTTGTGATCGATCGTGAGTTGTTGTCTGTCTGTGCATGCTATTGTGTAGATTCACCACTTTGCCAAGCCTGGTCTGAATTTCAAATGGTTGTCGGTACTATAGCAGCCAGGCCGAAGTGACCAGTGCGAGCATGCTACAGCCCACGGCATAAGCCCGGGAGTTCAATCTGATTCCACCCCTTTAAATATGATGGCCATACCACATGCTAACAGATCCGGAAGGTCCCAACATCAAGCCTTTTTTTTTTTTACATCGATACAAGGAAGTAGTACATTTTAGCAAATATACGTACAAGTGATCTGATATTTGGGTATTAAACTATGCATGCTGATTTGAGTTGAGTGAATCTTCGTAGTTTATTGTCTTGTTGAAATTGTATATAAATAGTAACTATAATGGTTTTGTTTTGACAACTTTCATTGAAATTGTCAACTAAATCAGGCTCGTTTGAACATACGTGTATGCAATTTTAAAAGAAAATGGTGGATATATAAAATTAAGTGTCCTGTCAGGTGATACATTTAACAGTCGTACAGCGTCTATTCGTCCCTCCGTCTATAAACATGCTGAGAATAATTATTTAGATAAACAATATTTAAACTAACCATTGTCCTTGCTCTATGAACTAACATAAGAACAAAATACTTCAGCATATTGTTTAACTTTAGTTTGGGCCAGTGTTGTAGCCGAATCCATCACAAGTCCATTACAATAATTCATCCAGTCCAAATTCAAGTCACAAACTGTCAAAATGAACTTTGACAAAGGCATTCCTTTATTAAAGATCATGCCATGTTACTTGTTAATTTACTTATGCTTGCTTGTGATTGACTTGTGATAGACTGCACTACAGCACTGGTTTGGGCTATGAGTATTTGCTTTAAAAAGACTTGCTTGATTTGTCCTGAATTGCACTCTGCATGCTTTGTCCACGAGGCTATATAGTTACGAGGAAATACGGCAGCCTGGTTTACAAAACCGAAACTCCAAAATGTCCTGGTGTTTTGTTTTAATGCCACCCCACCGTGCCCCCGAACAAGATGCAGCCTGACCTTCGCCACCTTCCCCGTGGCTGGGGCCTCGTGCCTGGCCCTGCTGGGCCCGATTCCTCCGAATTGGTCCCGGAAGTTTGCTGTTGTCAGGCACTTAAATACTGGCTGCACGCGCGCGCGTGTCCAGACACGTGGACCAAGGTGTCAGGTTTCACAGCTGGGGAAAGTTGATCCGGCACGATCAGCCAGTTGTTTGTGCCAAAACAGCCGCTCTTGAGCAACACCCATAGCTATAATCAGAGCCGATGCTAAGTCGGTGTAATCTGCAGGTCGGTGTAATATACTGTATCATTTTGGTTTATCAGTGGCGTAACTATAAAACCACCTTGACTAGAAAACAGTGCAATTTTGCACCCGAACATAGTGAGTGCCCCTCCAGAAAATGAGGACCCAGTTGCCCCTACAATCCTACGAATCAATTAAACCTAAGTTGTTAAGATTTCACAGCCTTATTTGTACTTTGTACATCGAACACCCTCCCCCTCCCCCGCTTAAAAAAGGAGCTATAGTTATATACTCCTCTGTTCGTTTGGTGCATATTGTATTTCTCGACTTTTATCTGTAATGATGTTTTCAGTCCAATATTAGTGCCTACCAGGGGAATCTTCTTTAAGTCATTCTCTACCAAACTCATCACTTCCACCGCCACGTCATCAGAATCAGTCCCATTTATTCATGTCTAATTAGGCCCACACCGTAATATTACATTTTTCCAGAGGGGGGGGGCTTCGAAGTCCGTGTCGTCCACGTTTCGCCCATATGGTACTTGAAAATAATACAGCGGCGATCAACTTTCCGGGGATATTAATTGTATGAAACCCAATATTTCAAGAACGAGATGGAGAACATGTTTTCCCAAAAAACGAGTCTTGACGTTCCGCAAAATGGAGATGAAGTACCGGTGCTTGTTGCAACATGCTCCCGGTGCATGCCTCGGCTGAGTCCCGGTAGGGTCGTCAGCCCGTTACCTGATGGATCGGCGAGGCGTGTATACTGGAAGGTCTCCATCAACAAAGCCAAGCCAAACTGTCGCAGGAGTTTACAAAGATCTCCGTTTTCGTTGTCGTATTTTATGAGGCGAGCACGAGAGAAGCCGTTTAATGAAGCCTCTTCAACACCGTGTAACTTAGGTCCTCCTAGCTTCCGGAATCACAAGACATATATTGGAAAAAGGTGAAACCGCAGTCTTCGCGTCATCATAACTACAATGATTATGGATTCTCAAGGTATTACATGAGAATCAATAAAACTAGCAGCAGCTTGCCAGTGAACCCCCTTTCGACCCGACTGTACAAATGGCTCATATCAGAAAGGGGTCATAGTATTTACGGGTCATTTCAGGAGGTCTTGTTCGAAGATAGTTACGTCTTTAAGTCGTATCGCGAAAACTTTATCATATCAAGATACTTCCTGACTTGAAGTTAATTTTTGTATGTAAGTCGCTGCATCTATATGGGAAATACCCTATCTACTATCTTGTGTTCAAATGTAGGCCTATACCTCATAGAAGTAATGTGTTTTGGCAGCACGATTCAGCTTGTGAAATCAAAGCATATACGCACAATGTACTAGGTCAAGCGTAGCTGAACTCCGTATCCTATTGTCTCATCTGATAAAGTCATGATCCAGGATTTCCGAGAGCTCAGTATTGTTTTATCAGACTCGGCCTGCATTATGTGGCTGCCAAATACACCAGTTACAGGCACAGTGTACCACCACGATCAGATGATTTTTGGATTAAGTTCATGGGTTTGGCACTTGCGACTCAGTGGACTTAATCGGGGATTTTGGATTTCCCAACTCATGGGGCGTAGTTTGATTATCTTCCCTTTGAAGGTGTCCCTTGCCACAACATTCGTACACTATGATCAAAAACATCTTGTGCAGACAACGGCCTTGAGAATTATGAAAAATATGGAACATCCTTTTGACTAAAAATTAACATATTTCTGTTCAGTATACCAAAGTGCAGTTATTGACGCGGCACTGTTTCTGTTGTGATTTTGGAACTAGCTAAACAGTTTAGAACCGTCACAAAAAAGACTCTAAATTGTAGCTCAGAAGAGGAGTTTTTGTTTAAGGTTTGCCTATTGAGTGACTCGCACACGTAGCGTAATAGGGTCAAATTTTTGAGGGGGGGGGGCACCTGGGGTGCAAAATTGTTCACCCCAGTGGATGTTCGTGCCCCCCCCCCCCCCCCCGTAGTTACGCCACTGGCTTGCAAGCAGACAAGGAAAACGAAATAAACGAAAGTTGTACTAGTAGTCTCATGCAATGGTCCTTTCTGGCTGTTTCTTTTCCAGAGGGGCGAGAGTGCGTCAACTGTGGAGCCACCTCTACCCCCCTGTGGCGCCGGGACGGCAACGGGCACTACCTGTGTAACGCGTGCGGTCTCTACCACAAAATGAACGGCCAGAATAGACCGCTCATCAAGCCCAAGAGAAGACTGGTAAGAAGGCTGTACGGTCGTCATCCAGCGGCCATCTTGATTTCTTTGTGTGTATCCATTTTAATTGAGTGACGTACTTGGTGCTGAATAATCCATTAGTGCTGTAATTTATAAATGAATACCAACACTAATAACCACATCCTCACTTCTAAAGAAGAATAAACCCTACAGCATTCCACAGATAAAATAAGTGCTGTAAATCAAACGTATTACATGTATTTAGCTTGAACTTGAACTTTACTTTATTTTCATATCAGTTCAATATGCCTAACTATATACCAACAGGAATCAAGGAATCAGTTTTTCAACATGCAAAAAGAGAGTGACCAAAAAACAACGTAGTTCTTTTGATCCATGAAAGCATGCACTAAATGTTTATGTATAAACTTGTTTTTACCGTCGTATGATACGTGTATGTAGCCTAACTTTTCAAGCTGAGCTACTACAAAATCCAAGAAAAGAATGTTGACCCGTTAACATGGTCCAGAGGTGACCTTATACTGACCCCGATGTAGACATCTTCCGTGGTGTCGCCATTAATTAGAATTAGCAAATACCTTAGGAAACGGCTGCACACCACTACTGAAGGCTATACTGATCAACTTTAGGAAATTGTTTTTTTATTTTTATAATTAAAACAAGATCTGAAAATAAACAACATTATGGCAACTCGTGCCAATTTTAAAATGTGGGGCATTAAATAAGAAATCAGTTTGTGGTTAAAAAACAATATGGTAATTAAAATTGAGCTTAAAGATGGTTAAAATGCCCTTATTCATTAAATCACCTCAGAGTGAAACCTATCCCTCTCGAGAACGAAGATTTGATACACTACGCGTCAACTAAACTTTGTGAATATTTTATATGTTGATGAAATTATTCTAAATTTTTGAGACAGCGTATACCTCTGCCCTATCAAAAATGTCTGTCTTTCATCAGTTTATAAATATCGCACAGTAGCATTCATTGGGGTGTGATTCAGTAGTACGGGGCTTATGACCAGCGACTCGGCCTATTAGTGAGTGTAGTTGAGCCAATATTGCCTAATTTGATGACAAATTAAGTTGCTGCGGCTCAAGTCTTCGGTTAACTGTTGCATGACAGGTCTTGAAACGAACCATTCCGGCGCTCAAAGTCAGATATGCAGCATGGTGCAGAGGCTGCATTTAAGCCGGGATGTAATTCCCAATTTGTCAATGTTTAAACTGTGTTGTCTGAAAGCTTGGCGCTAAAGCTCCCTCATCCTGTTAATAACAATCACAGCCGCCATTTCAATCACAGCATTTCCTGCGTAGTCTTAGACGTCGACCAACGCCGTATAAGAGTTGTTTGATTTCACGTATTTTATTGAGATAATTATTGCTTTTTTACATTCCGGCGCGCCCAAAAATTACTGGACAAGTTGAATGTCAATAAAGCCGGCCGTCATTTCTCAAGGGTTGAACAAATCGAATTTATTATTGGAAGTGAAGGATGCACTTGAGAAGGGGCTACACCACGTAGCTTTCCATGGCAGCGCTGCATGATTGTTCATTCGGCAATTTAGTCGCCAATTTTTAGCAGCGAAAACCTCATAGCCCTCACACTTTCCCATTACTTAAACTTGTAGACAGTCGCCATTTTAATTTTATTGTGCGGAGTCAATCAATTCTTTAAGTTTTCCGATGATGCTCAAAGTATCTGTTCCTGATAAGCGGGGCTTTTAACTGATTATCCTGCGTATATCGCCATTGCCATCATCCTCTATTTGGAGCGTAATTAGGTTCACACGTTTTCCCGCCAGTGTAACGGGGATGTTAACAAGCTGGAGGGGCAGTATGTCGAGCACCAACAGGTCCGCAATGATTGACAAACCTCCATTTTCTGAGGATATCTAATCAAGCAATTACCGCTCAATTAATCCGGACCAGGATCAGGCTGTGTCGTTTGACCTCCCGTAGCATAAATGATAGTTGCTCCCGAGTGGCTCTTCTCACCTACACTAAACAGACACGGAAATCAATGTTATGCTACCGCCTGTTCCCCTATCAGCTTTTCCGATGATGTGTTGAAATGTGAAAGCCTGAATATTACCCCACACTCACACACTCGACCATAGGGTTCCTTACCAAACCCCGTGGCAGGTTTACAAGGTTGGCAACTGTGACTGAACTTTTTTGGCCGTTTTCACTGTGCATTGTCATGCAAAACAGTGTATTGTAGTCGATTCCATCACAATTCCATCACAAGTCCGGTCATAAAGTAAATCAACTATCATTCCTCAAGCCCTGTTACAAGTGAAACAGGCGATGAACTAAAACAATGGAATGCTCATAGGTACTATTTGAATTGCCCGTGACTTGATTTGAAACTTGAGGACCTCTGTCGGACTTTTGAGGACTCGTGAAGACTTGTGATGGGCCCTACTACCATTTGGGAGTCACTTTGGCGTCAAAGGTATATCATTGAGAGACGTGTTTAGGGAGACATTTCAATGTCCCCCTAATGCCTCAGCTCCTAGAGGCAACATTTTACCGTCGCAAATAGGCTAGATCGATTGCCCGTGGTCCAATTCGTAGACTTACCAAAATTCGTGGGAGTAGGATAAGATAAAATTTGGGTTAGGGTCAGGAAAGTCGGGAAAATAATGTGTTCACAAGTCTGTGAAAATGTCTCCCTAATGGTATTTTTTTCGGTTATTATTACTACAACAACTATCTATTATTTAAGTATATGTAAATGTGTCTGCAACACCTACTTAATAGACATGTGCAACGTGTACAAAGGGAAAGGCACACCATTAATTAACAACAGTTGCTAAGATATCTTTATGAGGATATTGGCGAATTGCGGTTCGATCCCTCAACCTATCTCAGCATTATAGATTATTTAAAGCATCCAATGCCACGAATGCGCACACTATTCACGGTATACAACATTACAAAGCAAGATGTTTAAAATCATGGAATGTTAATAATTATGACCTGGAAACCCGTGTGTCTATTTTGCCCTGCAGTCGGCGGCCAGACGAGCTGGGACGTCTTGCGCCAATTGCCAGGCCACAACCACCACCCTATGGCGGAGGAACCCTAACGGGGACCCTGTCTGTAATGCCTGTGGGCTCTACTACAAGCTTCACGGGGTAAGTCTCGTAACATTTGATTGTTCTCTGTAAAGTGTGCAGGTTTTCCTAAATAAACCCGGCGAGATGTTGCGAGTTTACGTGCCTTCCACAGTTCCAGTCACATCGTATAGGCGTAACGTGTGCGATGTTGTTGTATATTCATTTATTTTACTTCCTGGCTGGGCGTATACGGTAAGGCGTATTGAATAGGTTTTGTGAAAAAAACCACTTGCAAAAAAAATTTGCAAATCGGTATCCATAGACGAAACAGGATCAAACTGGCAAGACTCTACGGTTGCATGTATAGGGACTTCTGTTTCCCTGTTATATTTGTAACTGGCACACTGTTCCATTGCTGATCATATTATAACCTCGAACACCATGTTTCAGATCCCAAGAGGATGTTCTGGTGTATTGCTTTTCAGGGTCATGTTGTAAAAACTACAGTCACATTTGTTTGACCCCCGAACTTATCACACGCGTAGGCTACACATGCCAGACGCCGTTGTCACGTCAACCACATTATGCAAATGAGCACACGCGAGCCTCGTGCTGGACCGTGCGCGTGTAGTTGAACCAACGACCTTGGTGGCTAACACCCGTGAACACGAATAAACAAGTACATGAAGTATAAACCATCTGTAATACGAAACCCGACAGGGAGGCCCACGCGAGCAAGACTGACTTGACTCTTCAAAGGCCAAAGGTCACGGCGCAGACCTGTTGATGACATTTTTATTGCTGGTTTTAGATCGTAAGTTTGTGGTTGCTACGAACATACGTCGGTATAGCTTGCTCTATGTTTTTCATGTACATGGAGCCATAAAACGGTTGTGTTTTATAGATCCGTGGTTATAGTTATACATGTAGCTCCATGGTTGACTTCAGCCTTTGTGTTTGTGTGGAAAGGGATCCGTGTGCGGGAAAGAAATTGATTACATTATTTCAATAATCTGACCGAAAATTCCAATCTGTGCATACCCAGGCTAGGCTTTTAACTGTACATCGCTGTTTACTTACGAAGATCAAGAAGACCTTCAAACTCGAAAGTCATTATAGCGAAGAATTGTCCACTCTGTTATTGCATGACCTTCCTCCATGGTTAGTCCAACTGGTTTGTTAAATTGATACCAGGCATGAATATGACAAACCGAGGCACGCCATAAGCGGTTATGACGGGCTCAATGCACTGACGATCCCATAGATCATTCATACTGGAGCCATTAGTAGATGGGGATGATCGATGTTTATCCATTTTTTGTTGTTGTTGAGGAATTGAAGAGAGGAAAATTAAGCAGATTTGAAGAATGAGAGAGAATATGGGAAGACTGGTATTCTGTTATTCTAATTCACGAAATTAAAGGGAAGGGTACATGCTTTCTTGAACCATATAACGGGTACCAACCTCGCAATAACGACAGAGAAATTGGTTATTCATAATCCCTTTACAGCAACATATGAGTTCGGGAGATTCTACTTTCACACGCGGTACACCTAACCTGTGTGAGGTTTTGATGTGAAGGTGTGCATGATTATCAATGGGATATGAGTATTCTCTGGTGGCTCACAAGTAAACGGTGTGATTTGGAAGGACATTTCTAGGGGCAGGCAATAATGGTGGATGCATAGGCCTACTATCGTATTCTCGTTGTGGTAGCGCGTTGTGATACAATCTTATTGAAAACGTACCCGTTATGTTCGATGCCAAAGAGCTTTCTGATCAGTCGAGTTTGCAGTTGCATCAAACTTCATGACGAATACCACAGCAAGATTCAATGTGAAAATGTGTTTATCTGATTTAAGCTGAATTGTTTGTACACCTTCCGCAATGAATTATTATATATAAGAACTCGATATAGTCTCGATAGTCTTTCTTATACCAATATTTTGTATGCTGGGTGAACGGTCCGTTGATGTAGCTTGTGTCTTCCTGAAGAGAAGACGGGGATTTCCTCCCCAATTTAGAGATAATCATCCCGGGGATTAGGAATCTTTCCGTTCCACGCCTCATGCCATTGTGGGTCCACTCATCCTCACACCATGATGCAGCTGACTGAGGCTGCATCAGTGCTGAGTGTGCGTTGCAGTGGTTTGGCTATTGGGTGATTTGCCCTCGGCGTTAGCCCGTCATCAAGTCCCTCTGGGGGAGCTTTCGAGTGTCATCGCTGAGCCACGCTTTTTCGCGCGCGATTCGACAACCGGCTCCACCTTCGCAACAGGTTCAGTGCAGGCCTCCTCCGTAAGAGGATCTGTTTGGCTTGCATTCATGGTAATTGGGAGAAAGGTCTCAATAATAAGGGAGGCTTGATTTCAGGTACCCATGGAGGAAGAAACTTCATGAATGCTCGAACAAAGTGTAAACCAATTAGTAACGCGTAACGTCACAAGGAAGAGGGGCACATTAGTGAATCCCCAGTTCAAGGTCTTTGTCTCTCATATCCTCCCCTCTCCAGAACAGCGTCTTACCCCCCCCCCCTCAACTTCCCGCAAGTCCTTTTTTTTCAATTCAGACCCTGATAGATACACCACTGATGATGTCAACGCGGTTTAACTCGATTACTCGTGTAGATACATGTACATGTAGTCGGTTATCTCCATTAATTGCTCAATTAACGCTGTTAATTAGGAGTTTGCCTTTTTTTAATCCACATTGGCCGTCGTGGAGCCAATACCACGCGTGATGGACGGTGCATGCTTATATCTCAATTGAGGCGCGTGTCACTGATTTTGACAGGTTGTCACAATCGGTTAGCTCCCGCCGCCTGCCAATATAATATGGATGGGGTTCCGGATGTTGGTAAAAAGAGAAATAGTAATTTGCAATCTAGCCAGAAATATGCCCCAAAAAAACACCGAAAAGTGCGAGTGCAACTAAAGTTCTGGCCGTCTTGCATGAAAGTCTTGCATGAAATCTATCAAAATGATCCCTGGCAGAGCTGCCATGCGACGCCCAAAATATGGAACACCATACTTTAGAAATTGATGTGTACCTAGAATTATAGCGATTTGTCACGTGACTATAACATTACTGCACATATTTTGCTTCCATTTACAAACATTTCACAAACATCTTTCCCAATTCAGGCGATTCACAATGCAGTGCGCCACCAAGAGTTTGCCACGGAGAGTCCATTTTTCAAGTTTACGGTCGACAAAACATGGCCCATTTGAATGAGTGTCGGTAGACGACTTGAGATAATATGTCTTAGATTGGGGCATAGCGTTCTGCCGCCTTACAAAAAAAACCCACCATATTGATAACAAGAAAAGAAATGGGCAAACAGACCCTCGAATCATACGCTTACGAAACCCCTGACTGAAAAAACTAACAATTTCAAATGTCCCGCGCTGCGAATTTGTCGACCATCTCCCACAGTGCACTGGGAAAAATGAACTCTCCGTAGCAAACTCTTGATGGCGCACTGCATTGTGAATCGCCCGAATTGTTACAAACAATTTTTGGTCGGTATTTAATTTATTTTGTTAAATACTTTTTTTTTGAAATTTTAAATTTGGTTGTTATATTTTGTGGAAAACTTATGCAGCCTTATTTTGGTCAATTTTCCGGGGACCGACCGACAGACCGACCTACCACCAAGTGACACATAGAAGCTCCTGCCAGATATGTTATGATGCCATAAACACAGTGACTGTTCCCCATTTTGATGAATTTTGAGCAACATGAATCATAACCATAAAAGATAGAAATATCGTGCAATTTCACGGGGAAAATACAAGGAGCCAGCTCGTAAGAATGATGGGGACAATTACCGAGAAGTGGTCCCCTCCCATTCCAAGGTCCTACATCTTGGGTCCCGTGGATGCATGTTATTATGCCCACCCGTTTATGGGTGGGGAGTTGACGAGTTTAGACGGGACCTAGACCAAGTGCAGCAGGTCCCTCGGGAATAGGGAGTCAGACGCACCGCTCAATCTTATGTCGTCTCGGTCCCAGACCGCCGTCTGTATGTAATTTTGATTGATTGACGTTCCAGGATATGCTAAAGTTCTCGGCCCTTTCCAGGCGGTGAGAATCATATACAATTTCACATACCCAATCGTTTAATTGTAAATGTGTTTCACGCTTAAAACCCATGCAGGTCTGCACATTTTGTAGCTGATTAAAGTTAATCGAGAAAATAGCCCCAATTACTGTTGTATTGTGACATATTAACATGTTATAACCCTCAAATATTCCATCATGCGAGAAATTCTAAAAGACTATAGCCTTGAGGTGAAGGTCGAGGGTAGTTGTTTTGTATCGCTATAGGCATGAGTAACCATTTGTCCATCTAAATATAACAAAGAACATCCTCTCAGACGCCTGCAACGCAAAACATTTTTTCGGGGACCTCCACACCTAGTAGACCGCTTTGTTAGATGAGAGAATATAGTTTTAGCTTAAAGGCAGTATACAACATTCGCAAACATTAAAAAACAAAGCTACAAAATTAGTATGAAATACCTTACTGAACTGTTAGTTAATGACAGTATAGAAAGCATCCTGTGTAAAATCACGGCACCTGGTGTGCTGACATTTTCAAGAAAGGTTATTTTTTTTCAACGATGGTCGGGCTTTTTTGTAAATCCTGCCCCTTTATTTACTAAAGATAGTTCACATTTTGTTAGCAGTCGGAATACACATCTGTGCACGGGTACAAGCCAGCTAGATTGGTTCCCTGACCTTACAATTCCCCGACGTCCATAAAGTGCTCTGTTTCATCTGAAATGGGGCCAGGGAACATGATATTTGTCTTGGTTTTTCCTGCATGTATACGAACACAAAACTGTAAACAGGTCAGTGTAACAATACTTGCTATAAAAACTACCCCCCCCCAAAAAAAAATCAATCCATTTTTGGAAATTACAGCAAAAGCATGTTACCTTTATAATGGTGGAATCCATTATTAGCTGCTCTGTGTGGATGTTTTCAGACGTCTATTTTATTCTATTGCATTCGAACGTATTGTGTAAAACAGTAGTTTATGTCAAAAATCCAGGGCAGTTTGGAACAGTTT